GGCCAGACCAGCCAGCCCAGCCAGCCCGCCCGCCCTGTGGCCATATCTCATTGTCATAACGGACAGTGCTGACAGTAAATAATCCATCAATAATTGCATCCTGCACTTGCCTGTGCCTGTGCCTGTGCCTGTGCCTGCTCTATCTCTGCCCCTGTCTCGCTGTCGTTGCTGTCCCTGTCCTTGCCCCTGCCACCAAACTGTCCCTCCTGTCAGCTTCGAGTTTTTCCAGTTGCCTGCCCGTGGGGCTTTCCACTGGCATTGGCCATGGCCAATGCTTTATGTCAATTGTGTTGACATTAATCATGGCAGTTTTGATTGTTGGATGTCGCTGCCCACCCAGGGCACTGACAACTAGCAGAAATCCCGCACTAACTCTGTATCCAACGCTTTGGGTGTCCATTGGATTCTGATGATTGACCAAGTTGTCTATTTCCAAAGATTATGGCAGGGCTGGGGCTAGTTTGCAGCTGGAATGTTATTCCAGTTCATTCAGTTGAATAAACGAGGATGATTGGCCAACAGTTTTTCTAATATTTTAATTGACTTTTGAGTTACAGTTAGTTACAGGTTAAGTCCCCTCCCCCTCAATTGTTCACTTTCTCTTCTGGGAAAGTGCAACTCTTCTGCACAGCCTTCACCCACTTCCGAGACATTTATATGTCAGCCACAATCTTTGAGTCTGCCCGCCTCCGCCTGAGCCCTGACCCAAATGCGGCGGCCACAAGAGCGCACCTGGTGGAACCCTAGCCCGACCACCCTTCAGGGCGTTCGTCTGCTGGGGGCTCTTCAGTGGCAAAATAAGCCTGATGGCAGCTCTGGCGGCCACAAACACTTTTACGCCTGGATGCAGCCACGAGCACCACTTTGTGTCGAGCCGTTTCGAGAGGCACGAGGCAAAAGGTAAGCGCCAGTCAGCCAGTCAGCCAGTTGCTGCATGGAATGGGTGGAGTTTCTCTCTGCTATTTTTTTTTCTTTTTTTGCTGTGTGTAGCAAAACGTGAATAAAACGCCAAAGCATAGACCGCACACGGCAAGCCATGCAAATGCTCCCACCAAAGAAACACGGAAAATGCCGCAAAATGGGCTCCAAAGCAAATTCACTTTTACAGCTAAAAGTTCTTCACATGAAGATGTTGGATGTTACCTTTGCCAAAATGTCACCATTAGTTGGCCCGGAAAACACTCTGAAGGATCGCTCTCTCTCTCTCTCTCTCTTTATTATTTCGCCCTTGAATAATTTCAACTAAATTGAGCAAACTGTGAGCCGTCTTTGACTTTCTTCCAGCTTAAAAAATGATTTTCTTTTTTCGGTGCGTGACCGACTTGCATTCTGTTCTGTTGATAATTACTTTACTGTCCCAATGCCTTCCACTGACCGCATTTCGTAGTCCTTCCTCGGTATGACCACAATTGTCAATCGCAGCGTCAAAACTCAATGCAAACACCGAATATCAACGCCAACAACACAACGTCCAGTAAACTGTCAATTACTTGAGCTATTTTCAATCAACACGAGTCAAACAAGGCCCTCAGGCACACACACCCACACACTCAGCATCAGCATCAGCATTGAGGGACTCGACCGACACACACACACATCGAGCGAATTACAAATCTCCAACGCACAATAAACGCAATTACAAGCGTGATGCGAGAGACAGAGAGAGAGAGAGTGCTCATGCAGTTAGATAACTAGAGAACGAGATACATGGAAATAGAGGGACAGAGCACAAACCACAGGCCACAAAAACGTGGCTGGGCGCAAAAGGATTTATGCAACTACCAGACACCCCACGACAGGGATTGGAATTGGGACTAACACTGGTCCATAGTCACTGCATATGGCCAGCATGATTGAAGGCAATTTGTGAGAAAACAGCAATTTCTGATAAGTGGATGGGGAGCAGGCAGGCCAGCATGGAACACAGATCTAAAGGTGACCAAATAACCAATCAGCATTCAATTATTAACACCAAAGTCCATGAACTAAAAGGCGTGACTGTGAGTTAAACATTTCCAATATTTGCAATATTTTGAGAACTCCAACGCAGCTTTAATTTCGTCGCTGCAAGTGGGTCGAGTTGGTGTCAATTTTGACAGCCAAAACCCAATGGCTCTCTTTCTCTCTCTCTCTTGGTTTTCCAAATAAAAGTTTTGTTTCCATCAGTTAGGCATTTACATATGTATGAATGTGTGTCAGCAAATATTCAGCAACAAAGATACGGCCAAAAGTTCAATGCATAATAAATATTTTGTATCTTATGAGTTTTGTCTCACATTTCGAGTATCTGTCCGCCCGTTGACAATGCCCTGAATATGATAAATACCTGCAAATTGTTTATTCCCTATGGCACATAAATCAAGTGAGTAACAGAGTGTGTGTGCATCCATGAAATGTATCCGAGGAGGTGTAAAATCCTTGTCTGACTTATTCATGAATCTTAATTGGTCTTCGATGAGTTGTTGTGGCTTGTATTTCGGATTGATTTGCTTTTAATTTGAAAAGTTTTCCAAGTTCTTGGGGAAGTTTCCGACTTCGGGGATTAGTTTCTGCTTGAGTCATTGGTGGATGGATGCCTAATCGAATAATCTTCTGGGTTTCAGTCATGAGTCTTCTCCTGCTGCTGCTGCTGCTGCTCAAGTCACAGCTCTCAGGCTTTCTTCCGCTGATGATTAGCGCATTGAACTACACGGATGCCAATCGCGAGGCTCCGAACAGGTTCCCTGGCTGCCTGCACTGCCAGTTTGCCGCCTCCTTGGCGGTGCATCCGCTCCCAAAAGTTCTCTCGGGATCAGCCTGGATGCGGCCCTCGTTGAATGGAATGGCCGGCATACGCAATTCCAGCGGAGTGGCGCACGATGTCCTGAGGTACACGAACCACTCCCTTGGTGGGTTGGTGGGTGAGGCTGCTGCCAGGACTGCCGAGGCCATGGGGCACGAGAAGGAGGATCTCTCCACTTCGACCAGTAGGCCAGGTTTCCTGGCCCCTCGTTTTCTGCCCGCTGTGCTGGCCGTTGAGGCGCTTCGTGACGGACAGTCACGGAGTTTCATCGGAGTTCAACGGCTGCTGCCTGGTGGTGGTCAGCCGTTGGGGCAACTACTCGTCCGCCTGTGCCGCGCTGGATGAGTTCCAGTTTGTGGTTAGTGGCGAATGGAGTGGCGCTACATGCAAAGATTAAAGAGAATCAAATGCTTGGATCGGCATGAAATTGTAGTTGGTGGACCCAGGGGTCATTTCTCTATAGCACCCAAGAAGATTGTGATGAAAGGGAAGGGAGGGAGGATGTCGCAGTGCAACGAGTGAAGAAAGTAAAGCTTAAGGAAGAGCTGGAGTTAGCGGAATGTAGAGGAATACATCGAAGAAAAGGACACAGAAATAGAGATGAATGAGGAGAAAACGCAGGAGTTAAAGGAGGACAAGCGATCCATCTTGGACGGATCCTCTGGACATCTGTTGCTCCACCTTTTCCTTTGAAATACTTTTGCGTGGATTCATTCGCTACCATCCACATGTAATGTCCAATCTGTTCCGCACTCATTTTCATTTGTGTCTTTTCCCTGCCCTCAGACCGTTTCTAAAAAAGTTTTCCATCTTTGCGCTCTGTGGCTCACAATTTTTATAACCATTTCTGTGTTTTTTTTGTTGAGTTTTTCGTTTCGGTTTTCTTTTGTTTTCCTCTGCACGCATTCGTATCCCCCAATTCATCTGCTTTGCATATTTCCTTGTTATTTTTTCTGTATTATTTTGCGTTCTTTTTCCATTTCGGAGGCTTAGTCGGGGGTCCACCCCACTGAAGCGCTCCCTTCCCGCTTTGCGTTGCGATTGTGTAACGTAATCCCCTCGTGTTGGTTTCCTTTGCAACGTCTGCTATAAATATATGCAAATAAGTACAGTTGTGCTTTAATTTGTGCAAGTCCAACAAAGTTTTCGACGGGTGTGACCTTCCCATTAAAGTTTTTTCCACGGAAAACTTTTCCAACCAAAAGATAATCTGATATAATTGAAATGGGGATTACCGTAAGCTAAACTATTGTGCCGCTGAACCACTTTTGAGCCGCTTCTGAAGCAGAACCATAACTGTGTACAATCTAGGTACCAGGAAGTACATATGTACGTGGTTCGACATTGCTTATGAAGAGCTGAACACTTCATTCAATTAAAAGCACAAATGTCTTACTCGGCCCTATCTATTACACACCACGATTACTTTTTTGTGTGTCATAAAAAATGATTGCAATAACTCACACACCGATCCGCGGCGATAAGTCAAAGATAACCGAAAGGGACATAAAATACGTAAGCCAATTGGCTGGCGATGGGCAATCGAAAGACATTCAGAAATTAAGTTAAGAAATTGACAAAAGTTGACGAAAACAAAACCCCAAAAAATGTTCATAAATCATAATTTAATTCAATGAAATCTCCAGACAGTTATGGTCATGCGTGTGAGTCATGGTCAAAGTGTCATGCAGCTAGCATTTCCAGAAAGATAGATAAGATCCCACAAAAGCCCAGCTGTGGATCCACTTCAATGGTCATGCAAACACCATGCGTTTCGTGATACTTGAAATCAGCACTAAACTGAGGAAACATCTTGAAGTTATTTGCCCTAGAACTACGTAATTATACCGAGTAATTGTATTTGGCCAGGGTATGCTGTAACTCGTTTTAAGGAGGAGTCTTTTCAAAATGATTCCACAAATAACTCCACACATTTTCTGAAGCATCTCTGGAACTTTAAGTACTTTGGCAACAACATTTTAGTTGTATCTATTTAAAAGTAAGAACATGTTGCCATAGATCCGCTCTTGTAGCCAGCTTCCTGAGGTATTCTTTTGTCGAAATATTAACCATATAATTATTGGCTTTATTCGTTATCAACAGCTGTGAGGAGGGGTAATGTGATTGATGTGGGCTGGCGGAGGGGGCACGGGGACACTTTCAAGTGGCTCAAATGCCTTTGAATTTTTGGTGTAGTGTTTTCGAAATCCAACTGCAGTTTGGTTTCAGTTCGGTTAGGTTTAGCAAAGGTGTTGGTTGTTCGCTCCAGTAGCCCATAAGAAATATGCTGCCATTTTGGTCTGGATTTATTGCCTGTCTGTTGGCTGTTTTGGTCGTCCCGCAGACCCTTGCCTGGGAGTCGCCAGAGCTGCAGAATGCGGCGGAGCCGCCTCAGTGCTACAGCTGCGAGGGCATCAATTGTCTGAGGACAACCAAGCAGAATGTGACCATCGGCTGTGCCGATCGTCTGGACATTTGTGTAACCATCTACGAGGACTGTGAGTTGGCTGGTGATCAGGTTCCTTAATCGTTTGAGACGATCCAAAATCATCTCTTCAATAGTTGCTGTCAGCGAGAGAGGCTGTCTGTCGCAGATTTCACTGGCAGGACAGGCCAAGTGCCACGCAAGAAGTCCGGAGTGCCACAAATGTAGCGGGGAACTGTGCAACAATCAGGGACGCAGCGACTTCAAGTGCCTTCAATGCAGCGGCTCTATAGTAAGTTTCTCCTGCAACACCAACTCCAAGTGCAATGCTCTACGGATACATATATGCTCTCTCCACTCCCCATTAGTCAGACACCTGCAACGAGGGAGCCAGCTCCTCCTTGAAGGCATTGCAGTGCGGCCTTTCGACTGCCAGCAATTCCTATTGCTATGTCAAGATCGTGGGCGAGCACCTCCAGCGGGGCTGTGCCCTGTCCCTGAAGGAGCAAAAGACTTGCCTCGACAGCACAGACTGCTCGCTCTGCCTCCCGGATAGCTCGCTTGGCAAGGACGTGGCCTGCAACACTTTCAACTTGGCCTACCCCAAATCGAGTGCAGGATCCCTTCAGGGTCAAAAGATGTTTGCCCTAAGCTTGGCTCTCCTTAGCCTGCTGGCCCTTCTTCTGGTCAATTAGTAATTTGCCAAATCCAAATAAATGAAAATTAATCAATCACCCAATGAATGTTTTTGCCTTGCCTTTTGTCCAAATAATCGTTTAGTTGGTCATGCGAGAGGCATGTGGAATGATTGTGGGCAATGGAAACGCAGTGAGTTCTGTGGAGAGCACTCAAAAAAAAAAATACGGCTGCACATACAGTGATGGTCAGTCAAATAGCAACAGTTTGGCACATTTAATTGTATTTATTTTGGGTATGTTTCAGTGTTTGTGTTAGGTTTTCATTTGTAAATCTAAAGAGATAATTATGTGTAAGATTGTTTATTATTTGATGCTCGATAAATGTGTCCTGAATGTATCCTTGAATCTACGAAACCTAAATTATACGCAAGATCTTCTCTTGTCGGCAGTCGAGGCAGGACTAGTTCCAAAAACTATCTGATATTTATTAACTATCCACCTCAATTGTGAGCTTTTTCCTATTCGATTCGCGATTATTCGAGTGGTGATTATTGTGTCAGGTGGTTGTGCCTATGCCACTGTCCCGTGCTGTCGGCTCTTTACACAGCACACGCAAGTGCTCGGCCATTTACACACATTTGCACACTCGGAGTGTAGAGTGGGGAGTGTGGAGTGTGGAGTGTGGAGTGGGTTGGAGAACGCTCTTGAGTGCCCTCCAGTTGGTCACTTGGAGTGGCTGGCGGTATAAAAGCCGAGCACATTGGCCAATTGCTCGACATTTGAGGCAACACAATGAAAGACACAGCAATCCTGATCACGCTGGCGCTTGTCTGCCTGGCGGGACACGCGGCAGGCAACTCCATACTCACCTGCCACAGCTGCGAGGGCGCTCAGTGCCAGCGTAGTTCGCTCCACAAGGAGCAGAAGTGCGTCGATTCCCTGGACTACTGTGTGACCGTCTTCGCTGAAGGTGAGTCTGCCAATTGCAGCATAAGAGCATTAGTCGCTGACCCTGCTTCTTGGATTATTACAGCTGAGGTGCTGTTCAAGGGCTGTTCCCTGGAGATCCCCAATGCGTTGCGTGCACGCAGCCCCGATTCCCACTCCATCCACAAGTGCAACACAGATCGCTGCAACACTGTGGGCTCGGCAAAGCATGCCTGCATCCAGTGCGACTCCAGCAAGGTAATGGCAGCTGGCATCATGTCTCTCGGTACTTTTCTTAATCTTTTGTATTCTGTTAAGGACTCCAATTGTGATCAGAATGCCGCCGCCTTGGAGGCTGCACGCTGTGCCGCTCCCACTGCCCCCAACTCTTACTGCTATGTAAAGACATCGGGCAGCACGACCCTGCGCGGCTGTGCCACCACGGAGTCCGATCAGCAGAGCTGCCTGGGAGACGCCAACTGCCTGCTGTGCTCCCCGGGTGACATTTGGAACTGCAATGCCGTCAATATTTCCGCCACTACGACCCTCGGCAATCGTTTCACTCGCTTTCTAAGATAATTTCTTGATTGAATATGATCTTTTGGGGAACAAATAAATAAAGTCGTTCTGAAAATTAGATTTAAATCTAACAATCTAACAGATTTTTAATGGAGAAGTCATCGATTGTTGTTTTTCTTTCATTCGAAATTTTGAGAATAATGCAAAATAAATTGAAATAGGAATTATATCTTATAGGATAACAGATCAAATTATTGAAGCTCGATCGTTAAAGGGAGAACTGCATTTATAACTATTCATTTTGGCAAGAATGAACGATAATGTTTGATTAGATGGAATACAATATACATATTATTATATTTATGATGGTATTTGATGGTAGATTTCAATCTTAAAGTAACATGGAATATATTTCATCTAAAATACTTTGATAACTGCATTCCCCGTAAAAGTCTTCCGTGACATTCTCCGCTGCCCTTTGAAGTCCCCCCACGTCAGCTGTGTGCAATTAACCTTCAATTAGAGGTGTGCCTGCAGACCTATTCAAGCCAGCGCCTTTAATCTAAAGAACTTAGATAACGACAGAAAGTTCCATTACCATTGTTAACTTGTTTACTTGCTCGTGACTAAGGAACTACTCGAGGAACTGCACGAAGAAAAACAGTGACCCACTCGAGTGTTTTGGGAGGTGCTTAGGCAACCCCGCAAAGACAACAGGCACAAATCTGAAGAGATGTTTTGTTTGCTGCACACTTGAGATTGTGCCAGAATTTTATATAAATCGATGGGCCGATGTGAAGGCCCTTCCAATGCCTGAATCGCCTTCTGCAATGTCAAACCCCAAATGTTCTGCTCTTGGATTACTTGTTGGGCTGCTCCTGGCGAGCGGCACGGCGTTGGCGCTGGAGAAATGCGTTTACTGTCGCGGAATCAACTGCCAGAGGAGCAGCTACCAGGCGGAGGAGCAGTGCTCCGATCTACTGGACGCCTGTGCAAGTGTCTTTGAGGGAGGCATAGTCCAGGCCCAGGGCTGCCTGGAGGGCCTCGAGGATGGCTGGAGGGCACTGTGTCAGGCGCCCTCGAAGGGTGTCGATTGCGAGATCTGTGTGTCCGACAAGTGCAACACTGTGGGCTCGGAGAGAGCCGCCTGTCTTCAGTGTGCGGAGAGTGAGGTGAGAAGTTTTGAATTAAATTCGCTTAATATAATTATTCAATATTCGATATCCCCACAGGATGAGCAATGTGTGAATGCCCCTCAGCTTCTAGTGCCCCAAAGATGTGCGATTGCGCGTACGGGCAGAAGTTTTTGCTATTCGAAATTGGTGGGAGAACGATTGGAACGGGGCTGTTCTCTAAGTCTTTCGGATCAGATGGATTGCCTGGCCAGTGGCGGCTGCCAGCTGTGCGATCCTCTCGAGCGGCCACATTGCAACGATGAAGTAATCGACTTTAATGCAGCTCCAGACACAACAACAGAAGCTACTTCCACATCAACTTCCACACCGAGTACACCAACCACACAATCCACAACAACAACACAGACAACACCAAGCACACAACAACCCACAACAACTTCTGCACCACCCACAACTGCAACACCAACGACAGCCAAACCCAATGCCGCATTCAGTTTGCACTCCTCCTCCACCACGACCATTTGGTTGATCATCGTGCCGTTGGTTGTATTCATTTACACCCTTCATAAATAGTACAACAATTCGTTTAACCTCTTCTCTTTAACCTAATCTACTTATGTATTGTTTAACTCATTTTTATGGTATCCAATAAACACTGTTCGCGCTCAATGACAATCTATGCCCGAACATACATAAATGGAGCTTGGGCTTGTATATGGCTTTATAGCGCCAACTACCCAAAGTTCGATGCTGCTGTGGATTGTTTGTGTAATTTTTGGATTCTATTTCGGTTTAAGATAACCCAAAAAGTTATGACGCTAAATCTGTTACACAATAATCTAATAATTGATTGTGAAATGGTTGAAAGCGATCATCGAGAAATCAAAACCGATTCTCACTGGTCCTTAACACGAAATTCAAGTCATCTTAGATTGTGAAAGATTATCAAATTAATTGGGAAATGCCCAATCAATCCAGATTAGTTGATTAGTTGGTGCTTGGCAACCGGAATCATTGGCATTAATCTATGTTTCAGTGCTATAAAGTTTGGTTAGGTATTACCGAAAAAATAGGCTAAATTGGTTTTATATTCTTATTCATTTAAAAGAACAAACTGATAATGATTCAGAGTTTAGCGAGTTCAACGAGTGCATTCAACTGGCGCTAGTCACCATTTTTTTTTATTTAATTATTGTACCAATTATTTAATGAATTCTTTTCACAAAAGAATCGCCGGTGAACAGTTAATTGAACATTTTCAGAATGCCTTCAAAGATTATAAAATATTTCTAGGAAACCCATATCAGGGCTTTTCCATTCCATGCCAAAAGATTTATGACCCTAAAGATTAATGTTTTGGGAAAGGCGCCATCTGTGAGATGTCCGAAACTATCGGTAAAAGTCCCATGAAATGCTGCTCTTTGGATGATACTCGCGTAATCGTGTAATATTTGAAGTGCATTCATTTGATAAGTAACTAAACTACGTCAAATGTGGACTGCAGTTTGCACAGCATAACAGTTTGCCGTAGCTCTTGCCAATAGCCAGCCTCTCTTGGGCTAAGCCGTCCGTCCAATCAGAAAAATATGTACAGAGTATGTACGAGTGTACATACATGGGCCATGTCCATCGGAGAGCCTTATCGAAGGTGTTCTGGACTCGCATTTCGTTCGATTATGATGGGCTTATCTGGGTCATTGTTTTTGCTTCTTTTATGTTAATTCCCCCCTTCGCACTCGGCTATAAATAATCGGGTGAGGGGGGAGCGGCCGAATTGCTTTATCGGCCATAGAGCTATGTATATGGCAACAATAATCGCTGTGGCCAATAATATACAGCAATAATCAAACAGCACCGATAGGAAGGTCCGTCCGATCGATCGATCGATCGTTGGCGCGTTTTTCACTTGTCGTTGGCGGAATCTATAAAAGGTCTCGCAGCGGCCAGCACGAAATTAGTTGCCCGAATCCATTTTTGTTGGTAATACGCGAGTGTCCACGGTCAGGAAAGAAAAGGGTTTGAAGAGCCCTCGAAGCGATCATGAGAGGAATCGCTGTAGGAGCAGCCTTGCTGCTTCTTGCACTTAGTGCAAATCAAACAAGTGCTAATGGTAGGTGTGACAGAACCGCAAGAAGCCCAGTAAGGACAAAAGGATAATCCCTAAAGTGGAAGTGATATTAAAGTGCTCAAGTGTGTGCCCAAAGACCCAATGATGCCAATGAAAGAAAGTGAATAATTAACTCAAAACTGCAACGAATTTGTGGATTAACGAGAGACAAGAATCATCATTAGTGTCCTAACTAGCGAAATGTTCGCCCTATCTTATCTGCCCGTGTGTTATTCCCCTACCAAAACTCAAATTAAAAGGAAACCGACATTGACATTTATGAATCATGTCTCTATATGGCTCTCCTAAAGCTTTATCTTTGCAATAGAGTGGACTAATTCATGATTAAATGTGGCATATGTACAATGTACCCATCAAAATGTAACCAATTTTGATAACAAGTTGGGGTAAAAGCTTTCGCATGTATTGCTTTAGCCTGTGCCCCTTTAATTTCCACATTGGCGGATAGCTTCCATATCTGTTTTGTTGGTTTATCAGGTTGTGAAACACTTACAGCTTCGAGTGGTCTTGCTTTCTATGGATTAAGTTGTTTTGTGAGAGATTTAAAGTGCTGTGGACTTTGAGCAGAGAAAACAGAAATTGCCGCGAGTAGGCGGACTTTTTGATGTGCGATAATGTGGCTTAAAGCTCTTGAAAATATCCAAAACCAGAGACAACTTTAAGGGGTTCTTTGGAAAATGCACCTTTTGAAATATCAACATAACCTGATGCCTCGAATAAGTCACTTTTAGTGCCACTTTAGAGGCTGTAATGTAATGTATAACTTACCCAATTCAAACTCACTTTTGACCAGTAGTTCCATTGATAAAAGATCGTCAAAGGTACACTGGAATATCTCGTGCTTTGCCTTGAAGTCACGCAATTTATTTAAGTCTTACGTAAAGATACTAAAGATTTGCGGCGATAATTCGGCGATAAGTAGATATTTCTCCACTAATTCGCACACTTTCACTTTCCCGAAGAACATTTGTACTTCCCTCTTTCTATGGACGAGGGCCATATAGATTATAGAGACGATCGCCATTGAATTGACATTTTATGAGCCTCAATACGGCAATTACTAATTTATGATGTTGATAAGGAAGCGACCCTCGTGCCGGCAGCTCCAACATTCCCATACACTGGACCCATAAATAACAACTAATTCGATTGGGCCGAAAGTTCCATAAATACTGGCGAATACGTAACGATCCAGTCCGCGTGTGCTGATGATTTTGGCATTTATTTGCAGTTTTTGAGTGAATAAATGTATCCTTTAGGAGGCAAACTAAAAACCAAATTCATTTGCAGATCCAGATCCCTTTGTACACAATTGGCATTCGGGCCCCATTAATTGCTACGAATGCGATAGCCTGACTGAATGTTCCGCCGGCTCTGGCACCCTACGCAAGTGCCTCGACAACGATGCCCAGAGCTGTGTGGCCATCTTCAACAGCGATGGTGCTGTGGTGCAGCGCGGCTGCAGCGACAATCTGGTGACGAACTGCTCGGCGGACCAGGACAAGTGCTACCAGTGCCGCTCGAATGGCTGCAACAACCTGAAGACCGACGCGGAGCTGGTCGATTGCGTGTACTGTGATGCCCAGAGCGATGACAACTGCGTCTTTGACATTGAGCTGGTGAAGACGAGGCGACGATGCCAACAGCAGTGCATCACGGCACTGTATCCGACCACCAGTGATGCCAAGGCACCGCTGGAGCTGGTGAGGACCTGCCTGGACGATCTGGAGTACGATGATCGCGAGGCCTGTGCCGAGGGCAGCTTTCCGAATTGTGTAGCCTGCACCGGAGCCAGTTGCAACCAGGTGGAGCTGGGTGTCCGTGGCAGCTGTAACTCCTGCCGTGGGGATTGCTCATCTCCGCAGCCACAGACCTGCCGCGCCGTTCCCGCCAACGATGATGTGGAGCATTGCTTCATCGAGTTTGATGAGAGTGGAACGCTCGCCGCTCAGGGCTGCCTCAGCCAGTTCAATGTCAGCGATGTGCAGCTGCTCGAGGAGAGCAAACGGCTCTGGTACTGCTCCGGCGCGGACAACTGCAATGTGGCCACTGCCCTGCCCACGCCACAGAGCTGCAAACTCTGCAGCTCCCGCACCGATGCCGACTGCGCTGTTGATCCGGAAGAGGTGGAGTCCGAGACGCAGTGCGACTATGCGGTGAACACGGACTGCTATGCGCGGATCCTGGCCAATGGACACACGGAACGCGGCTGCCTGACGAGTCTGGAGGGTGAGGAGTATCTGGATTGCCTGCGGGAAGGCAACACCACGCAGTGCGCCAAGTGCACCGGAAAGAACTGCAACCTAAAGGTGAATATTCAAAGTCCAACTTTGGCTTGAACTAACTTTATAATCCATGTCCCTTTCAGCTACATCCCACCGATCGTCTGAGCTGTCAGACCTGTGACTCCAGTGAGGACTCCCAGTGTGAGGCCTCGCCGGCTGCTGCTGCCCTCTGCCTGCTGCACACCGACAGCCAGCAGTGCGTGACCAGCCTGGATCTGGCGGGTAACACCAAACGCGGCTGCAGTGCCTCGCTCGAGTGCGACTCGAAGAACCCCCAGAAGTGTCAGCTCTGCTCCGGCTCCGATTGCAACACGGCGAATCTGAAGCGGCTGGCGGATGGCAATCCGGGACCCTGGCAGCAGGAGCTGCCGCTCAGCTGTCAGAGCTGCCTGGACGCAGCTTCGTGTGCAGCCAGCAGCATTGAGGAGGTGACCTGCGCCACCGAGGCAGAGTACTGCATGACCATCTTCGATGCAACGGGTGCGGTCAGCGCTCGTGGCTGCAGCCAGGTGGTGGAGGAAACCTACAGCGTGTACTGCGATGCCAATGGCGCCAGCTGCCACAACTGCAACTCGAATGGGTGCAACAAGGCCCGATCCCTGGACAGCTATCGCGAATGCATCTACTGCGATGCCGAGAACGCCGATTGTGCCCGCAACCCTGCGGCAGTTGAGGCCAGACGCAGCTGCAATGGCCACTGCATGACTGCCCTGCAACCCCGCAGCAATGGCAGCCCCATCTACGACACGGTGCGCGGCTGCCTGGACGACAAGGACGAGGCGGATCAGCAGCTGTGCATCGATGGAGCGGACACCAATTGTGTGGCGTGCGACGCCGACGATTGCAACGTGGCACAGCTGGCGGAGGAAACTCTCAGCTGCTATCAGTGCTCCGGCGACGAGTGTGGCGATCCCAGTGCCCTGCAGTGCAGTCAATACAATCCCGAGGATCGCTGCTACATTCTGTTTGACCAGGATGACGGTGACATCACATCCATGGGCTGTCTGTCTGATTTGGAGGATGACTTTGTGGACGAGAACTTCCACTCGCTGCTGTTCTGCAATGAGACCAACTGCAACTTCTTTGACAATCTGCCCACGGCCACCAGATGTGTGGCCTGCGACTCCTCGGAGGATCCCAACTGCGCCGTGGATCCCAGCCAGATTGCGCTGATTGGCACCTGCGGTGTTCTGCCCTACACCAACTGCATGACGCGTGTGATAAGTGAGTTCAGATTAGTCGATCAAGCAATTCAAATCATTTAATTATGATCTTCCCTTCCTTCCAG